AAACCCCCTACCATCAAGTTGATTCTGACTTCCAGTGACCCCATATGACATAGCAGAACTGCCCAATAGGTTTTTCCTAGTTGTAATCTTTATGAGAGCTGATTGCCAAGTTTTTCTCCTAGGGAGCTGCTAGGTGGGTTTGAACCTCCAACCTTTCAGTTAGCAGCCCAGCACTTAACTACTGTACCACTAGGGCAACACATACACACACAAATACACACGCACAGAATGGTATATAGGTCACAATGTAAATAATTGATGAATCTGAGTAAACTTTACATAGGAGTTCCTTGTATTACTCTTGCAACTTTTATGTAAGTTTCCAACTATATTTGAAAAACAATTACAAAACAAAAATGAAAAAATAGCCCTCATAAAGAAAAAAATTCTGTATCTATATGAGACAAATAATTCTTTTATTAAGTACAAAATAAAAATTATAAGTGGTAATAGAGCATGGTTTAATTGGCAGTGCTTTTAACTGCCAGTGTTTTTTTTTTTATCTTATGATGTTAACCATAAAATAATAAGGGACTTAGAATCAGTGGTGTCTTCTATGTATTAAAATACAGTAATAATAATAATGGAGCTCTGGTAGCATAGTATCTAAGCCACTTGACTGCTAACCAGAAGGCTGGCAATTCAAACTCACCAGCCATTCCTCGGAAGGACAGATGGGCAATCTACTTCTATAGTGATACCGCCTTGGAAACCCAAGGAGAGATCGTTATGAGTCGGGTCTGACTTGAGGACACATAACAACAACAACAATAATAATAAATTATATAGCACCTGCAGAACAGTCAGGAACTATTCTAAGCACTTTATGCTCATTATGTCATTTAATCTCTACAACAACCCTCACTCACACTCACTCACTCACTGTCATCATGTTGGAACCAACTCATAGCGACCCCTCCTTGGGTTTCCAAGGCAGTATCATGGTTACTAGCCACTTGCCATAGGCACTATGCAACCAGAGCTCCTTACAACAACCCTATGATGTAGTTGATATTATTATTTCTACCTTATAGTAAGAAAAATGAGACACAAATACATTAAATAACTAACCCAAGATCATCAGTTAATAAAAGGCAGAGTTAGGATTCCAACCCAGGCATTCTGCTTCCAGAGTACATGATTTCAACCACTAGGTTATATTCATCTTCGCAATTACCTGGGTTGGCCCTGTATATTCTTCATTTTCCACACCAGCCCTCTCTAGCATAGTATCCATCACATCATTCAGTTGGACCACTTCTACTCTTTTATTAGGTTTCCTAAAAGATCAAAGTGGTAGAATTATGTAATTAGTGTTACAACAAGTCATCCACAAATGACAAAAAAGAAAAAAAAGTGCACGGAAATGTACATCCTATAAAATATTAAGGCTATTTTAAAACATTAGACTTCTATTTACTGATCTAATAATGTTTTCAGTGAAAAAAAAAGTCAGAAAAATGGAAATAATATGACCCTTTTTTTATAAAAGAAAATATTGTTTCTCTTCAAAAATTCTAAATATCCATGCATAGGATTGTAAGAATATAGAAAAAGATGTGGACAGAGAAATACCAACCTGTTAATACTGGTTACCTCATAATAATATAAGAGAAGAAAAGAAGTAAAGGAGAGATTTGGAGGAAAAAAAAAAGACTTAACAACAGTGTAAAATACTAATAGTTAAGTGTAGAGCACAAAAGTATTTTATACTATTTAAATTTTATTACATAAAACTTGAATATACAGTGGGACAAATGAAAACACTGATTAGATGGTGGTATTTATATAAGCAATAACTGTTTGGGGTTTCTGCTATAACTGTAATAGTCTTTGTGTAATAAACTATCAAGAAAAAGAAATACACACATATATAGTTATTCTTTCCAAGCACATTTTAGAAATAAACCATACTTACATGGATGGGAAGAGCAATAGCCTGTTTTCACTATCTGTGAGCAGAGTTGTATATTTGCTACAAAAAAAAAAAAAAAGACAAATAAATTTTATTTTAAGAAAATCTTCTGGCCTCTTTATCACACATCACCTGATAAAGTAAGACCTCATTCTTGGAATTGGGAAGCTGAGAAGCAAACAAAGAGCCCATCATTTTGCACATAAATACATACCTAAATATCCAAAGACATCTACAGACACGCATATGATGACATCGATTATATTTGGAACATTTTTAAGGAAAGAGCATTTAATCACATTCCTCAGTAATGTTACAATATGAAATATTCCTTGATTCATAAAACATACACACATACATTTTTCAAAGGTGAAAGGATGTTTTTAAGAACATCCTTTGACTTAAGGTCAACAAAATTAAGTGACTGACCAGTTTTTAAAACTAATAAAAAGCAGAGATGATACTAGAACCCAGGTTTCCTGACTTTGAGGCATGTTTTCTCTCTGAGAGTACTTATTAACACCTAAATGAGTATCACAATAAAAGTGATTCAATAAACTTCATTGTAATCCTTCAAATTCATTATTATTATCTATCTTTTTTATTCCCCAGTAAATAGACATTTCCTTTGGTTCTGCCCTCTACTGGAACACAGTTAATTAATAAGGTCCAGTTTCAGAATTTATATCAGTGAACAATCTCTAAAGAATATAAAGATGCAAAATAAAGCTTGCAGATCTTGTTTTCTAAGCACCATTCTCCATTAAAAAAAAAAAAATTAGGACTCCCTGGAAAAGTGACTCATGGCTCATTCTAGAGCTAGAGTTGGAAAGTACAAGATGAACCTGGCAACAATGAAATACAGCCAGAATGTTCCTTAGAAGAGAGAATGGCCAGACTTCACCTCATGCACTTTGTTCATGTTGTCAGAAGGGGCCAGTCTCTAGAGAAGGATATCATGCTTGGTAAAGTAGAGGGTCAGCAAAAAAGGGAAAGACCCTCAAAGAAACAGACTGATACAGTAGCTGTAATAATGGACTCAAGTATAGCAAAGATTTGAGGATGGCGCAGAACCAGGCAGTGTTTTCTTCTGTTGTACATAGGGTCACTATGAGTCAGAGCTGACTTGATAGCACCTAACAATAATAACAACACAAGAAAAATGGGAACATTTCTAAAGAACACAAAAGCTAGTTCAGAGTAGCTGCCACTGGCCAAATCTGGGACAATAAGATCAAAATAAATAATGATAGTAAAGAATCTATTGAATAAAATAAACATCCACAGCCAAAAGGTAAAATTCCAAATAATAAATATAGAAGCAATGATGAAGTTAAAAAATCATATAAAAGGATTAACAACTCATGAGTGAAATTTTAATGAAGGATATTCATAGTTTCAAACTATCTCCCTATAAAATACTTGTCCCATACAAAGAGAAAAATACTAATTTTCCAGTGGAAAACTTGGCAAGTTTAATCGTGACCTCACATAAAACAAAACAAAATACTGACTGGTTCTGCACTATCGTCACATCATTGATGTGAGCCTGTTGTTGCACCCACTGGGTTAATCCACCTCATTGAGGGTCTTCCTCTTTTTTTACTGACCCTCTACTTTACCAAGCCTGGTAGCATAGTGACTAAGGCACTTGACTGCTAACCAGAAGGCTGGTGGTTCAAACCCACCAGCCACTCCTCAGAAGGAAGGTTGGGCAATCTACTTCTGTAGTGATAACACCTCGGAAACCCAAGGAGGGGTCACACATAACAACAACACTTTACCAAGCGTGATATCCTTCTCCACAAACTGATCTCTCCTGACAACTTGACTAAAGTATGAGAAGTAAAGTCTCATCATCCTCACTTCTAATGAGTATTCTGGCTGTACTTTATCCTAGAAAAATTAGTTTGTTCTTCTGGCAGTCCACGATATATTCACCTTACCAATACCATCATTCAAATGTATCAATTCTTCTTTGGTCTTCTTTATTCATTGTCTAGCTTTCACATGCATATACATGAAACAAATGAAAAGATCATGGCTTGGGGCAGGCACATTTTAGTCTTCAAAGTGACATCTTTGCTCTTAAATACTTTAAAAAGGTCTTTTGCAGCAGATTAGCCCAATGTTAATACATCATTTGATTTCATGCCTGTTGCTTCCATGGGTACTGCTTGTGAATCCAAGTGAAATGAAATCCTTGACAACTTCAGTTTTTCCTCCACTTATTGTGATGTTACTTATTGGTCCAATTGTGAAGATATTTGGTTTCTTTATGTTGAGCTGCAATCCATACTACAGGCTGTAGTCTTTGATCTTCATCAGTAAGTGCTTCAAGTCTTCTACACTTTCAGCAAGAAAGTTGTGTCGGAGACATCCTATAAGATGGCAGAATAGGCAGACAAGCTACACAGACCCTCTTCAACAAAGAAAAGAGAAACCCATTGACAGAGATACAGAAGACAATCCTGGAGTCCTGAGCTTTGAAAGGAGGTGTACAGAAGTGGATTCAGCATGAACTAGTGAAAAAACATGAATGAAAACAGTGAGTATGGAGATGGTTGGAGCAGCAGACTGTCAGCTACTCTGACAAAACCAACAGCCTGAATATTTCCAAGTGGTGTTGGGACCTGAGAAGTGACCTAAAGATGAGCTCTGGTCACCAACAGCTGCAGGGAAGACTGTGCTGGTGGCCTATGACTAGGAAGAGAAACAACAAGGAGGGAGACAACCTGAGCTGTGGACTTTTGGCTGTCCAGAAGGCACAGCCATTTTGATTGTTTGCAAGCGGTGGTCATTTTGGACATTTAAAGTGACGGAGGGTGCAGCCATTTCAAATGTTTACAAGTGGTGGCCATGTTGGATATTTAAAGTGACCCAGGGTGCAGCCATTTTGAATGTTTCCAAGCAGTGGCCATTTTGGATACTTAAAGTGACCGAGGACTCAGCCATTTTGAATGTTTACAAGTGGCAGCCGTATTGGATTTTAAAGTGACAGCATTCACATTCAGATTCCAGGGACCTAAAAATAGGTTCTATTTGCCAAGGATGGCAGGGACATACGGGGGGCTGACAATGAGAAAGAAGACAGGTGGTGAACATATAAGTGCTGCCAATTTGTGAATAAAGAAGCACAGTACCCTGCTTACTTAGATAAAATCCAAAGAAACTGAAAATCATGGGCAAGTCACTTCAACACATAATTAGCAATTAAATATAAACACAAAAAAATCACAATGCCTCGTAGACAACAGAGCATCACAGTCCACACAAAGAAGCAAGATAAAATGGGCAAACAAGGAACAAGGATATAGACCCAGAACACATCCCTAAGGAAGAAGCAGCACTGGAACTTCCTCATAAGGAATTCAAAAGAATTATATTCAGGCATCTTCAACAGACAAGAGACAGATCAAGGAGAACACTGACAAAACTGAGGAAAACCCTACAACAATTTCAAAAGATAATACAAGAACAAAATGATAAAGTAAATGAAAAATCAGAAATGATACAAAATCAACAGATAGAAATCCAGAAGATTAATACTAAATTCTCAGAAATAGATAACACATTGAAAGGGTAAAGGAGCAGAACTGAATCAATGGAAGACAGAATTAGTGAGATTGAACACAAATACCTCAGTATTTCTTTGAAAGGGATCAATCAGAAAAAAGATCAAAACAAAATGAAGAAACCCTTCATTCATATCCCATTGTGGGATACCATCAAAAAGAATGTTGTTATTATTGTTGTTATGTGCTGTTGAGTCAGCCCCGACTCATAGCGACTCCTCCTTGGGTTTCCAAGGCAATATCACTACGGAAGTAGATTGCCCAACCTTCCTTCCAAGGAGTGGCTGGTGGGTTTGAACCACCAGCCTTCTGTTAGCAGTCAAGTGCCTTAGGCACTTGTAATCGGAATTTGAGAACAAGGAGAGACAAATACAACCACAGAGAAAAGTGTCAAAGACTTGTTGGAAGAGAACTTCCCTAGCATCATAAAAGATAAGAACATTCAAGAAGTCCAACGAACCCCAAACAGGATAGACCCCAAAAGAAAATCACCAAGACATATCATCAAACTCACTAAAGCCAAAGACAAAGAAAGAATCCTGAAAGCAGCACAGGGAAAACAAAGTTACCTACAAGGTAACCTACAAGACTAAGCCTGGATTTCTCAGCAGAAACCATGCAGGTGAGAAGACAATGGGGTAGTATATATAAAACCCTGAAAGAAAAAAATTACCAACCAAGAATTAATATACCCAGCAAAACTGTCCCTCAAATACGATGGTGAAATTAGGACATTTCCAGATAAGCAGAAATTAAGGGAATTTGGTAAAACCAGACCAACCTTACAAGAAATGCTAAAATGAATCCTTTGGGGGGAGAACTAACAACAGCAAACAACACCTGACCATCAACACACATGATGACACAATCCAGAAACCAACCCAGTTATGGAAGTATCCAAAGTAAGTAAGCCTACAAGATTGTAAACAGGCAACAGAGACATCAGTTGACAAATGAGGACAACTACAAACCACAAAGAAGGAAAAAATGTGTAGTTACAAAACTTCCAAATGGTAGGTGTTTTGGTTACCTATAGCTGCTCTGACAAGAATATACCACAAACAGGATGGCCTTAAGAAACAGAAGTTTATTCTTAGTATTTGGAGGCTTTAAGTCTGCGTTTGAAGTGCCAGGGGCTGGGTGAAAGCCCCTCAACCTTGGGCTTCAGCTCTGCCTCCTGCTCTCAGCCCACTGCAGCTGGAGGCTTTTCTTCACTCAGCTGCTGGCTACTGAGGCTGACAAGCCCAAGGCTGGCACAGTCCCGATGTTACCAAACCACAAAGAAGGCCATTAAATCAAATCCATTAATGGTCCCAAGGTCTGCAGAGTATGGCAGGCTGCTGAATGACATGGCTACACACAGGTTTCAAGCATGCCATAAGCTAGAGACCGTTCCCAAAGCTGCTGCTTATATACAGGAAGCAGACCACATCGCTAAAGCAGCTACTCAGCTGCTTGTGGTAGATCCCATCATGGAGTTGACCA